TTGTCTGTCCTTTTTATAAATCTCTTTTTAGGCCAAATAGTGATTTGTGTGGCCAAGTCACACTTTATTGGAAAAATGGTAGGGTGGGGCCTGGAGCAGATTGATTAGGCGATCAAAAGGTCAGAAAGTAGATAATTGGGCACTTAAAGAGTATTTGTTTTCTTGTAATTAAAGGACTAATGCGTGCATTAAACTGTTCCTTTTATGTCCTTCAGGATGAAGTAGCTTTGGTATTTACTACGTCTATTATAAATGATTTTGAATTTGCCCTTGATTTGTTATCTTATAATGATGTTTACTAACCTTTTCTTCTGTCACCTCCCTTTTGATTTTAAGCCTTTTCAATTAATTTTAAAATTTCAGATAATTTCTACTGGAGCATATTTTCATTCACGCCTTCAGGATAATTTGGAGTATAATTTTGTCTGCTCCTTCTAATACTTGAGTTACTTTTGATTGGTCTCCATCTATTGTTTTTCCTGATTCTGAGTCATGTTTTCCTGTTTCTTTGTGAAGTAATTTTGAATTGTACCTTAGTCATTGCTGAGATTATTGTGTTAGAGACTCTGGATTCTGTTTTATTATTTAAAATATAAGTTTTTAACATTTGTTGTAGCAGGCCACCAGTGGTTAGGCTTACATTACAAGCTCTTGGGCTGCAGCTTAAATCTTTAGTCATTTTACCCTTAGCTAGGATTTATTTGGGTCTCCCCTGCCACGTGTGTGTGGCTCATAAATGAGCCATATGCTGGAACGGAATGAAATAGAAGTTAGGGCTCCTCCATTCTGACTGTTTTTCCCAGGATTTCCCTCTTACTTTCTGGTGGCTTTGGTTACTGCGTGCCCTGTTCACTGCTTCTTCAGATCAGGAAGTGTGAACATATTAGCATTTAGTTGCCCTGCTGGTTGTGAATTAAGGCATTCCCTTAGGCCAAAAGCTGCAAAAAACAGGCAACTCAATACCATGCCTCCAGAATTCTGAGTGTTGATTCCTTTCCAGAATTAACCTATTTTTGGTCATTTTTCAATGCTTTTAATTGGTTATTTGTTTATATTGTCTTTTAGCCTATTCTTTAGAATTGTTCTCCAGTGGTCGGCAAACTCATTAGTCCACAGAGCCAAATATCAACAGTACGATTGAAATTTCTCTTGAGAGCCAATTTTTTTAAACTTAAACTTCTTCTAACGCCACTTCTTCAAAATAGACTCACCCAGGCCGTGGTATTTTGTGGAAGAGCCATACTCAAAGAGCCGCATGTGGCTCACGAGCCACAGTTTGCCGACCATGGTTCTAGGCAGAAGGATTGGTCTGATAGAAGCTTATTCAGCCAGTGTTAGAAATAGGACTAGAATTTTTTAGGTAAAAATAGTTGGAAAATATGGTGTGTGGTAAAGTACAATCTTTAAAGTCATATTATTTAAAAATATTCAGAAAAAGAATAGAAAAATTATGATGTATACTAGAAATTATGATGTAGAAATTCGTGCACGGGAGGAGATAGGGGGTGTCCCTCAGCACAGCCTGAGTGTTCCGCGCCCAGCCTGGTCAGCAGCGCTCTCCCTACCTGGGTGCAGAATGCTTGTCTCGTCGCCATGGTGACAAAGCAAGCATTCCACCAGGCCCTCACACTGCCCACTCTCCGCCGCCACCCACCCCCAGGAGTGGGGGATTTGGGAGGCCTGAGAGGACTGGGTGCCACCGTTTTGTGGCTATGGGTGCTGCCATCTCTGTGGTGGAGTGGTGGTCAATTTGCATATTTCCCTCTTTGTTAATACACACTGTAATACACACTGTAATGGAAAGAATTGGTTTTTCTGACTGCAAAGTCTGCTGCTGACTTTAGATTAGAATGCATTTCCAGTGTAAGTGTAGATAGTTTACCTACGTCAGAAGGAACAAATGTAGGGAAACCAAGCTTCTAGGATTTATTGTGACTATTTTCAGGGAGGTTCTATTAACAGCCATTGCATTTAAAAACCTGTATATTTTGATGACACCTTGGATTTATTTTCAAGATTGAGTTCTGTTGTTACATCTAATGTTTTTTACTTCTGTTATATATTTTGTTTTGATTTGGTTAATATAGTAAGCAAGATAACTTACAGTGTCAAAGCCCTCAAAATGATCAATTTATAATTAAAACATTTTTGATGGCTACTTTCCATAAAATTTATATTTTGCATAAAATTTCCACTTTCTAGGAAATGATCCTTTCATATTTCCTCTTATTTCTCCTTTGGTTCTTTGTGAAGCAGGAGGCAGAATCTGTGATTTGTTTTTACACTCAACTCTGTGCCAGTGGTTTTCCTTTCTGCTCCATCTCCTTTACTTTACATGTCTTTAAAAAGATTATTTTTTTCTTTTCCTTTAAATATATTTTATTGATATTTTACAGAGAGGAAGGGAGAGAGATAGAGAGCTAGAAACATCGATGAGAGAGAAACATCGACCAGCTGCCTCTTGCACACCCCCTACCGGGGATGTGCCTGCAACCAATGTACATGCCCTTGACCGGAATCGAACCCGGGACCCCTCAGTCCGCAAACCAACGCTCTACCACTGAGCCAAACCGGCTTCGGCAAAATATTATTTTTTTCATTACCTTTAATTTTTTAATCCTTCTGGGTAGTCAGGAAAACTAGGTACTATGTACATTATTTGCTTTTTTTTTTTTTTTCCCTACTGCTGCACATTATACCTTCACCTGGTCCTAAACCTTAGGAGATGCAAAATATTTTAAATATTTTGGTCAATGTGTAGGGAATTTGAAGAAGTAAAGGCAAGGGCACTACATACTCTTAGCTGCTGGGAAAGTCCTGCTGGATGAATTTTTAGATGTTTCAAGAAGTTCTAGTCCACTGACAAGGACTTGGCACAGTGTCAGACCTGGGGTGAGGGGTAGAGTAATGCAGCTAGCAAATACTTCTATTTACTTCACCAGAAAACTCTGTGGCCTACAGTGATATTCTATATTCTTTCTTAAAACATTTGGAAAACTATTTGTATACCTTAAAGGTAAATTTTGCAATAATAGAGCAAATCAAAGTATAGAGAAAATATTTTAACCAAATGTAAAACTCTACACAGATTAGTATATCTTTATTTCTTAACCCTTCTAAAAGAGGGAAAATATCTTAAAGTTGAATTCCTAGAACTTTCTGAATAATATAATTGATTAAATTCTAATTTTTAGGGTATTTCTTATTATAAAGCCAGATGGTATTATATGCCTTTTAAATAAAGTAACATTCACAAATATGAACCATACATTTTTATCTAGCTTATATATGTATATTTAGTTCTCACATTGTCATAGATTATAAATAAATATTTTAGAAATTGTATATCCAGTTTTTAATGTGTTTCACTGGAAAATCTGGTTGTATTAAATCATAGAGCAGAGTAATCCATGATGTGGGTTCTGCTCTATAGGTCATTGATTAATTTTGTGGGATTGGATGAGGATGAAGAAGGTAGAATTCTCTGCTATTTTACCATAGCCTATTCTTGTGCTTATACAAATGGTGAGGTGATTATTATTTTTTAATATATATTTTTACTGACTTCAGAGAGGAAGAGAGAGGGAGAGAGAAATAGAAACATCAATGATGAGAGAGAATCATTGATATATTGTCTCCTGCATGTTCCCCACTGGGAATCGAGTCTGCCTGGGAATTGAACCATGACCTCCTGGTTCATAGGTTGACATTCAACCATTGAACCACACCAGCTGGGCCTGAGATAGTTTTTATTATGAGATTAGATAGCTTGCTTTTTTGTAATTATTGTTAATTTTTAGACTTAATGGTGTCACTTGAAAATACTTTGACATATACTTGGGAAAAACTTGAGTGTTTATTATGACATATATTATAAATAGTATATTGTTACTTGTTGAATAACTCCCTGCTCTTTTTTATTGTGTGGGATATTCTATATTACCTGGTAGTATAGGTTTCAAAACTCAAAATATTTATTATATCATCACGGGAGATTAATTAAAGAACAGAACACAATCATTGTGGTAATATATTGCTTTAAAATATTACTTTACTATTTTTAAAGGATATTTAGGCCTATTCAACATTCTTTTTCTTTAATATTTTCATTTTTCTTGATTTCAGGAAGGAAGGGAGAGGGTAGAGAGAGACAGAAACATCAATGATTAGAGAGAATCATTGATCAGCTGCCTCCTGCACGCCCCCAACTGGGGATTGAGCCCGAAACCCAGGCATGTGCCCTTGACCCGAATCGAACCCGGTACCCTGCAGTCCGCAGGCCATGCTCTAGCCACTGAGCCAAAACCGCTAGGGCTGAGCATTCTTTTTTCCAGTATCAATGCTCATTTGCATATAACTATCTTAAATTACCTAGGATTTCCATCTTTAAAAAGGGTAGCTATATTTTTGAAGTAAAAAAATGTTTTTTATTGATTTTTAGAGAAAGGGAGAGGGAGGGGGGGAAACATTGATGTGAGAGAGAAACATCAGTCTGCTGTCTCTCACACGCACCCCTGCTGGGGACCCTATCTGGATTGAGCCGGCGACCTGGGCACGTGCTCTGACCAGAACTGAACCTTTTGGTGCACAGGACAACACTCACCCAACTGAGCCCATGGGCCAGAGTTATTCTTGAAATGTTGAAAACTGCAATGAATGCAAACAGGCTTGTTACATAGATGCAAGGACTTAAAAAACAAACAAACAAAACAAACCCCCCCAAATCAAATGATTTATTCAGGGTTATAGACTCCATGACAGGCTTGTAACTAAAGCTCAGTTTTGTTTTCCAACCTTGTGTTAAATCCATACTAAGTAACATTTTCTGTATGGCTAATTTAGGTCCATTGACCGGAAGATAATTTATGAATAAACTCTGATATTTTCCGAGCTTCGTAAATCTGCTGGTGTTTGCTTCATTGTAATAATAATAATAAATAAATAAAGAGGTCATGCCATCATCACTAATTCTTGCCCCGCCCCCTTTTCCTCCCCTTCAGAAAAGTTGGAAGCTGCGCCACCCACCCGGGAGCAGCTGAGATACGGTAACGGTTCTATCATTGTTCAATAGTGTGCACCTGTATCTGGGACTTGAGCCCACTGTATCATTTATTGGTAGTACCAGAGTCAATACATTAAATCTTTCTAGACAGAGTGAGTTTTCCTATGTATTATGCCAAAGCAAAAAGTTTATAAACTCGGTTTAAGACATTTCTAATATTGTTAACCATATCTATTATTGCTTACATGTGTTACCATCTAGGAATAGAAAAAATGAGGCTAAATGTATTAAAAAAACCATATAGGTGTTAGTTCTTTGTAGTTATACCTCTATCATCTCAGCCTATTCAGATCGTGTATTAGATAGATGAGGTTAGGTGTGCCTTTGGTAGGAGGAGACCAAGTTACATTTTGATTTAAATAGAATGGTGTTGTTGTTTTTTTTTTAATAGTTTGTGAAAGCATTCAGGGATACTGAAGTATTGTGCAGGGGGAAAAGATTTCTGAATGTAAATGTCTAATATAGATGAAATAATCACATTTTCCTCACATTTGTTTAAAATAATTATTTAGTGAGTAAAAGTGACCAAACAGCTTCCCTAAAATTTGATTCAGGGAATTTATTATTATTTCTAATGTGGAGATCAATTTTATGGTATCACTCTTTAGGTATAAGAGAGAAACATTGATGTCAATATCAATTGAACAGGAAAAACATGGTATTCATAATATGTATTTACTTACTTGCTCTGCTGTTAACTGTATATACTAGTACTTTGTATGCATTGCCAGTAAGAAAACACAAAAGCCTAACACAATTGTTTTTACATATTATGAATTTTTTATTTTATTTTTTTTTCTCAGTATAGCTTCTACTAAGTAGCTAAACTTATAGTAGGAGTAGAATCTTTTGGCTATGTAGAATGGCAGGCAAATTCCAAAGCTTATTGAGGAGACTTTAATTATATAGTCTATTTTTGTCATTTTAAAATTATAGAAATCTTAAAATAAATGTTTCTGTTTTTGATGTTTTTCAGTATTCATCCACAATGCGATACCTTTCGTAGGGTTTGGCTTTTTGGATAATGCAATTATGATTGTTGCAGTAAGTTCTTTCTCTTATCCCTTCTGTTTTGAGCTAATAAAGAAATTTAGATCGTCTAAATTTTTCTAATTATTTGCATATTATAGCTGTAAAGTTTTAATTAACATAATGAATGAAGCTTTTTTTTTCTTTTACTATGTTTATGATAATTAGACTCGATTTTCTAGCTCAATTTTAAAGCAACATGTATGTTAATCATTATGACTTTTGGTAAAGCATTGACAATAATAAACACATTTATTGAGCCTATATTATTCTGTTCTGACTTCAACATTCATATTAAAGAAAAATGTGTGTAAAATTTTCTTATGTGCTTTCACAATTCACATCACATGTATGTTATTTTATTAGTTCCTTGTTCAATTTTCCCATGCAAAAATGTTGTGTTTTATTTACTTATTTATTTATTTAATTTATTGTTTTGGTTAATCCTCACTGGAAGATATTTTTTCCATTTATTTATTTATTTGTTTGTTTATTTTTTTCAGAGAGAGAGTAGAAGGGGAAGGAAAGGGGACAGAGAGAGAAACAGCAATGTGAGAGAGCCACATCAATTGGTTGCCTCCAATAGGCACCCAAACTGGGGTAGGGAACCTGAAACTCAGGTACTTGCTCTTGATCAGAATTGAACCCCCCAAACTCTTTGGTTCAGGGTTCTGTGAATATATACCCCTTCTGCCTTTGTTCCATTGTAATGGGTAAAAAAGAATTTTCCTTTGCCGTGGTCATTTTAAGGTAAGGGTGCTCTTTAAAAGTTAGTCTCAGGAATGGCCGATTTATTTTTTTACTATTATGTGACACCTTTTGTTAGTAGATACCAGTATTGGGTTCAGATTCTAAAGTCAGAAATAACTCCATGATTAAATGCAACTATTTTGAAACTGCCAAAGTGATTTCTCTTCACTGACTCTAACTTCAATAAAAATCTATAAATTTTAGCTTTGTGTTGGAAACTTAAAAAAAGGTAACTGTTTTTGGATTATTGAGTATGAGGAAAATACATGTGAGAGATACAGGTTTATTTTTGTTTGTGTATTTGGTAGGTCACATGTCCTACTACATGTAGACATAAATAGAACATTTGTTTTCAAAATCAGGATAAAAGGATAATTTACATTGCATAGATTACAAAATTTGCTTAGAGAATATCTAAAATTGGTTCATTCAAGAATTCTTTTTTTCTTTTGCTATATAGTCTCATTTTATGTCCAGATTCATGGAAATGAGATATCCAAAAAGTCTAGCCGTTGCCCTGGTTGGGGACCCTAACAGGGCTCACACAGCAGAAGGTATCCTGCTTCGTAAATAGTCACAGAAGATACTCTAACATGCACACAGCTTGTAGGTGATAACACCCATTGGATAATTCCTTCACAGAGTATTCTGGCAATAGCTTCTAAAATATAATTTCAAAATGCTAGTTTTTACTGATCTTAACGTTTTCCTAATATGTACATAAGAACCAAATTGGCCAATTTATATGTCTATGAATGTGAGACACTCAGCCATTTAGAACTACACTGTCTTTTTTAAATTACTAAAATCTGAGTTGGTTAGATTATTTAAATAGTTAATGTAAGTCAAATATAATTGTAACTAAAACCTCATTTTTATGAATTTATAAGCTCCTAGAGACTCGGTGCACAAAATCTGTACATGGTTTGGGTTCCTAAACCTGGCCTGCAATCAGGGCCTATTGGGGCCTTCTGGCTGCTGGCGAGGACCTCCTTTTGCTTTGCACCGCCCCTAGTGGTTAGTGCACATCATAGCAAGCAACTGAACTCCCACTCAAACTCCTGATGGGACAATTTGCATATTAGGCTTTTATATACATAGATAGTTAATGTGTTTCTAGAATAGATTGTCTGAATTAAAGTCTTTCTGTGGCAAATATTTCTTTCAATTTTATATGACTCAGTCTTTTAGATTCTTTTTATTAACAGCTACTAGCCCCTCTACTGCCGTCCTAATAATAATTTTTTTCATCTCAGTAGAGCAGACCTTAGATATTCAAATACTGAAAGACTAACCTCACTACAGTGAAGTGTTGAGATTATATATTTTGCATAAAGGTCCTAAGGAGATTTTTAAGAGAGATCAGAATAGGAAAACTGGGTAGTTTTTAGATCCTGAATAAGACCTTCCCCATAGGTCTTATTATTTCTTTGATATAAGTATCTAAAGTAATATATCACTGTGATTAAATAGAGCTACCAACAAAACAAAACACCCACATTCTAGAGTCAAATTACTGTACTAATGTTCACTGTTTAGTGTGACTCAGGCCTGCATCTCATTAGAGGTATAAGTGAGAGTGTCCTATTTTTGCAGGCCCCAGATGGCTCAGTAATTTAGTATTGTTTGCTTTTCTAGTTTACATTGAAATCCATTTTCAGGGACTTAATCACCAGGTTATCACTTGTATAATACTAAAATAAATATCTAAATCACTGGCTTCAATACCTGATTGAGAGTAATAGGTATGGCAAAAAAAGTTTCCTGTGATAATTGCAAACTACTTCAGGGACAGTGAAGTTCTCCAAAGAGGTTCTGTAATACACTGCTGAGATTAAAGTTCATAAGTAATGTAACTATAGAATCTGTGCAAAGGGAAACGGTGATCATTATTATCATAAGAATATTTTTTAATGTGTTTTCCTTGTTGAGAGTAACTACAGATGTTCCCCCTTTTTCCTCACTGTCCTCCTCTACTTGGCTCCCGCCCTACCTCCATGAGAATTTTTTTTTTTTTTTTTACCTTTTTAAAAAAAAAAAACACTGATTGCCTCCTGACATTGTAGGACAGCTGTGTCTGTTTTAAGATATTCGGTTGAGCAGATCTTTGATTCTGCTTTTCTATTATGCCATAGACATTTGATCTGTTCTTCTAGGTGTACTCTCTGGGCTGCTGCTGGCCTCGTTGTAATTAATAAAAATTTTATAACTTCATATATAACTTCTTGTAATAGATTTGACCTTTATTGTTGACTGCTAATCATACTAAGGTTTTGGTTTTAGAGCTCTGTATTCTATTTTTATGTTATTGGGATTGCTTTTGTAACCTCGTGGGTTTGGGGGTTATTTTTTTTTCTTGCAATTTAACTAGTATAACATTTATTAGAATTCTAGAGTAGATTAATTTTATTCAGGCGATGAACCAAGTATAATCTTTAAGACAACTAGTATTAAATTTGTTTGTGATTTCCAACTCACCTGTTAACATGAAATTTGATGTAACTATGGGGGAAAAAAAGCATGGATAATCTATTGCCTTCAAACTGAGGCTTTTTATGCTGTAAGAAGGACCTTCAGTTCCCTTAAATTTTAATTAAATACTTGTTCAATACATGTCTTGCAAACAGATTCTTCTTGGATCATTGCTGTTAAGGATGCATTTTTTATTTTCCATACTCTGAAACTGTCAGGTGCTTCTCTTGTATATCAAAGCCCTAGTGTTGGTGTTGTTTGTGTCCATATATAAAGATACACATCTTTTTTCTTTGTGCCTGTTCTTTTTTTTTTTTTTTTTTTCCTTCTTCGGAAATCTCTTTCTTTGGATACCTCTACAACCTTGTCATTTTAAGTGCTGGGAGGCTTTTTAGCTGTTTGGGCCATAGTCTATAAGAACTGATTAAAGATTAGGTGGGACCAAAAGGCTGGGGAAAGAAAATTGAGGAAAACTTAACTCAGTTTCTCTTTAGTTTTAGAAATAATTGATTAATGCAATATCTCTACATACCTGATAGGGCATTCTCTTTTTTCTCCACAAACGTCATGGAGATTTTTTTTTTTTTTTTAAGGTTCAAGCATTAGTATTCAAGAGGGTTTTTGAAAGTCTGTGCATTTATGGCAGCCTTGCCCAAGGACTGGGACTGAGCTAGCATCACAGCGTCTAGGATTTCTGATTTAGTCTACATAATAACCCATTAGAATAGCTTTATCTTCTTCACCTCAGTTCCTTCTCTTTAAAGTAGAAATAAAAATGTGAAATCCTCTTTTCTCCAGAGGAGTGAGAGAGATGTGTAGAAAGTCTTAAACTCTCTCACTAAATAAATGCGGTGGAAATACAACAGAGCCTCATTTTTGCTGTAGCTCTATTGTATCAAATGTTGCTATTACTTATAAATGAATCAGATATTCCCAGTACTTAATGGATAAAGAACTAAGTGTTCTAAGGGTAATTTTTGAGGTCTATGATATTTTGAGTTCCTAGAAACTGGTTTAGTCTGGCTTTTTAATCTTTTGTAGGATAAATAACAATAGTATAGGTCTAGCATTCAGAATTTAAAATTGAGGTGAGTTTGTCGACTTTATGCTCAAAGAGCTTTAAAGCACCTTCCTCTGTGATAAGAAAATATAAATCTTAGATTCTTAATGATGAATTATATTGTATATGTGTTGGTATTTTTTATTTTTCCAACAACCTAATTTTAATGAAGAAATATTGATATTATTTCTGCATATTGCATTTCCATAGTAATTAAGTGAATTACTGCATTATATATGCATATTTCTGCATATTTTTATAATTTTGCTGCAATAACATGTTTGACTACCTTATCTGTTTTTAGTAATGCTTTGCTATTCTTTTATAATCACTAGAGCTTTAATATTTTAAGATTAATTTTTTTTGTAATCATTTTTCAGGGAACCCATATTGAGATGTCTATTGGAATTATTTTGGGAATTTCAACTATGGCAGGTATTTAATAATAATAAATTCTATTATCCGTATATTTAAAAAACATTCCAGTAGGTTAAGTATAGAAGGGGATAATTTATTTGAATGCATTTACTCATTGAAATGTCTACTAGTTTATCTCCTAAGTCCTATTCCTTTAATTATTAATTTTGTGTACATAATACTATTTTTTTTCTGAGAAATTTTGGGTACAGTATGTTAGTTAATGTGTAATAATAATCTACTACATTGACTATGTTAATAAAAAGTTTTTCTTTTAGTTACTGGTCACCCTAAAACCTTTCCATCCCTTTTCTCTATTAAATTATTTATTTTCAAGTTGGGTAGAAAAATCAAAGAAGGAAATACAAGATGGAAAATTTAATTTGGTTCTATCTTGTGCTTTTCCTGCAATTAACACTGTTTTCATGATGGTGAAATCTGGGGATAGTTCTGTGTTCTGTGTGTTGTATGGAACACATAAGTAGATGAATTAATGTAAGAGACATTTCTTTCCTTGATTTTCTGGAATTTCAGAGTTGTACATATGGCTTTATTTTTTCCCAAATATCCAAATTCCCTTTATAAAATATTATCTGAAAGTTACAACTACAAAATATTGCAACATGTTTTAATGTTGAATCCAAAATGGAAAGTGGCTGCCATAATAGGAAAAAGCCTTGCTCCTTGATGAAGGGAGAATACTGTAACCTCAGGAGAATTGTGCTTGATTATGAAAGCTTGAAATTCAGAGCTATGCAACGAGGTTACTTTGGATACAGTTGTTCCGGTTTGAGAAATGTGATAACACTTCCAGACCAGTGCTTTATTAATTAGTGATATATTATAATGCTTTTTATGAGTTCCATGTGACAATTTATGTGTCCATTTCTTACTTTTTTAGCTGCTGCTTTGGGAAATCTTGTGTCAGATTTAGCTGGTCTTGGGTAGGTCCATATATTTATTCATTTGTGCATGTTTTTACTTGCTCTCTCTTCTCCATTATCCTGTAATTGGAGAAGGCTAAAATAAAAAAAATAAAAAAAAAAAAGACTTTTATTTGTGTTTCTGTATTAGAGCTAAATTTTAAAATTTCTAAATCAGTAGTACTAAATCTTTGGTGGGCATCAAATATTAATGACTGGGTCACACCCAGTCATACGTAATGAGTGTTTCTTGGGATGGGGCCTTGACATTTGTGTTTAATAATCTCAAGAAATTCTGACATATACAAAAATTTTTCTAAAGCTATCTTAATGTAAGCAGAGCTAATTATTTATATGTATGTATTTTATAGACATTTCCAAGGCTGAGACAGGATTAAAAGAACCCCTATCATTATTCCACCCCAGCCTCTTCCCACTAAGCCCCTAAGTAAGAGATGTGGCTCAAAGGTGAGGCTGCTGACGGGGCATGTTTTTTTCTAGAGAGAGGAACTTTCTAGATGAGTAATGGCCAAAGCATCCATGTGTTTGCTTTCTTTACTCCCTGTGGCAGGAATGATGAAACACACTTAGGATGTCTACTTAGAAAGACCGGTTTTCTCTCTATTTTACACTCTCACTTTCAAGTGGCAAATGGGCTGGGCTGCCGCCTGAGCGTGGGGAAGCTTGGGAACTATACATAAGGCTAAGATGACATTAATTACAGTGATAAACATACCCTTGTACTCAGTCTTGGGTTTTGTCTCCTCCTTCCTTGGTTCATTGGAGTGGTAAGTTTTGGAATTTGGATTTGGGGCTAATAGAACTCTACTGAGCCCCATAGTCTAAGGCAAAATTATAATGGGTCTGACCCTACACGTTAGACTTTTGCACTGGAGTTGGGGCCATAGGTACAGTTAAAAACAGAGTTTCTTTACTTTGGGCCCTAGGCAAAAATTTTTACATTCCTAGAATTTCTGTCATAAATCCACAATGATATCATCCTTCAAACATTGCATTTCCCTGTTCCCAATACTAAGGTTAGTAATGGTGTTATAGCTGCCATGATAGCTTTCTATGTAGAACTAAGTGATCTAATAGATTGTAAGGCTGTTTTGTTTTAGATTGCATCATAAAACAATTATTTTTCTGTTAAAGATAAAGATTTTGTTGGGAGACTTTATATTTAAGAACTATTTCTTCTTTGCCTTTAAGAAAATATCACTAAATAACAAACACCACATTTTTAGATGCACAGTTTGTTTAGATTTAACATATCTGACATCAGGATCCATCTCATAATCAGTGGTATGCATAGTTTAATTGGCATTTTTCCCCTCACAATTCATAAAGTAAGATAGTATCCAATAAATGAAGGTAAATTAGAATTGATAAACACTTGAAATTGTTATAAAAATTCTAGGCTGCTTTTCTTACTATATCTATCTGATAAATTTGGAGATTTTTGCTTTTTGACGACAGTTAATTTATATCACATTAAAGTGCTTTACTTGGAATGTAGAATAAGTGCATAAATTGAAATTGTTGTAAAAAGTTTCCTATACCTTGAATTAGTCTTTTAAAAGTAATGGTAGAGAATAAGTTTGCTAAGTCAATTAATTTACCTATGTATTAAATATAGTAATATAAAAATGGTTTTAAACTGAATATATTTATACACAATAAAATTTATGCACAAAAAAGTTTCTGAACATGTTTACACCATTTCTAGAGTGCCAATTAATTACAGGTATAAACTATCTTGTTTTTCTTTGTGTTAATTCAGTTTTTACTACCCGAGGATATTTGTATGTGTCTTTAACAACTTATATTCTGCCCTAATGTGGTTTTTTTTAAAGACTTGCAGGCTACGTCGAAGCTTTGGCTGCCAGGTTAGGCCTGTCAATTCCTGATCTCACACCAAAGCAAGTTGACATGTGGCAAACGCGTGTTAGTACACATTTGGTAAGTACATTACATGGCTTGTGAAAATCAATTTTTGTAGCCAGAGCAAGTTCATTCCCTTGAGAAATCTGAGACTAAAATTGATTTGAGTGGAGTCGTTAACACAAATTGTCCAAGGCTTGGCAATTTTCAGAGGAAAATTTTTTTATTGAATTCATATTTTATAGGTGTACTTCATTTAAAAAAAATTCTTCATATGATTCAGTTAATCTTAAGGTATCAGTTGTGTGCTAGACATAAAATGAATATAGTTCTCTTGAGGATTGTTTAGGTAGAGAACCAGACATTTAAACAAATTATAATTTAGTGTGACATATGCAGTAATGGAACTATAAATTGGATATAGCAATACTACAAGTACAAGAATTAATACTTGGTGGGGAAAAGTTTTTTTTCATGGGGAGATTTTTTGGTGATTATTAGATCTAAGCGGATTTAAAAAAATTATTGATGAGACATTTACTAAGTGAACAGGAGAATTCCAAGTATATTGACTAGCAAGTAGAAAAGCATGATAAAAATAGGGTGTGTTAAAAAAAATACAAGAGATTAGTAATTGCTGGGATATGCTATGTAGTAGTTGTACTCGAAGCAATAATGGAAAACAACATTGGAGATGTAAGAATGGATCATTCAGAAAAGGCATTTTTCTGTCGATGTATAAACTGTGCCAAGGAGCTTGAACCTCATACCTAGGTGATGGAGTGCTATTTTAAATAGGAAAGATACTGGATGGATGTTATCAGTTAAGAGGAGGAGGAAGAATAACTTTTGAAAGGGAAGAGAATGAGCTCTATTCTGGACACGTTGAATTTGAGATGCTAGTAGAACACTCAAATGGTGATACCAAGTAGGCATTTGGATTAAAGGTCAAGAGTTGGAGAGGTTTGAATTAGAGATGGTGGGTGTAATCATTCACTCATTAATTCAACAAATATTGATTGTTTACCTGTTATATGCAGAACACAGACCTAAGAGCTTTGAATATATTGGTTAACAAAACAAGATCTTTTTTTTTCTGGTGAATCTTATGTTCTAGCAGCGTGAGGAGAGAGAAACAATTTAAAAACTTGATAAGCAAAATATTTAGAATATTAGAAGTTCGCAGTGTTGTGGGAAATTAAAGAGAAAAGGAAAGCTAAGCAGAGAAAAAGAGGTTGGGAGTGCTGGAATGGAGATAGATTACAGGCCACACTGAACAGGCCGGCGATGGAGAAAGCCAGGGGAGAAGAGGTTGCGCAGGGCAGTGGTTCTCTAAGCGCGATGGCAGGACCAGCAGAACCAGCAGGACCAACATTACTGGGAACTGGTTAGATATGCAAATTCACAGGCCCCACCTTACACCTGTCGCTGCATAAAAAATTATGTGTGTATGTGTGTCCGTATCCTGCAATTTGTAGATCAATTGAAGTGGATTAGTTAGCTAATATCCATCGGCCAGAGTTGTTGAGGAATAAGGATATTCTAACATTCTAGGAATATAACAGTGGGATCAAGATAAGATTATTTCCTGGGGCCTTCTCTTCTGACATAATTGATAATTCTGTTTTCTTTCTACATTATGTAAGAGCAGGTCCATTTCCCCCTTCTATAAAAAAAGCATGTCAAATATTAAATTGTCATATATATACTTATATACATGTTTATTGATAAAACCCCATAAGCATATGGATTCTGTTCTTTAGTTGTTGGCTCTGCTTGCTACGCCATAGGGTCAAATCTTCTATTCTGTAACATAACATTTGGTTATAAACAGCCGGTAGTGGTTGAAGTTAGTGATCAGCTATCTAGTTATAACATATGCTAACTCTGAAATTTACCTGTAGTAGAATATATGCCAGTACATATGTAGTTTCTAACTGACATATGTTGTATTTTAAAGCCTCATTTGTAATTTGGAACTCTGAAAATATTTTCTTGCATAACATTACAGATATACTCAAGTCCTCGGTTAGCTCCAGTATAATTAACTATAGGGCCTAATATAAGACCCAATTATCCTATATAATAAAAGCCTAATATGCTAAGTGTCTGACCATTCATTTGACCATTTGACCAGTCACTATGACAAGCACTGACCACCAGAAGGCAGATGCTCTGACCGGTAAGTTAGCTTGCTGCTGGGGTCTGGCCAATTGGGATTGGGCGAGACAGTCCTGACATGTCCTGGAGCGCTCCCATGGTCCCTTTGTGCACAGTGGGATCCCTCAGCCTGGCCTGTGCCCTCTTGCAATCTGTGACCCCTTGGGGGATGTCAGAGATCCGGTTTTGGCCTGATCCCCATAGGCCAGGCCAAGGAACCCCACAGGTGCATGAATCCATGCACTGGACCTCTAGTAATATATTATATAAGTGACTATTCTTATGATGGAAAAATATGGCCCTCACTGGTTGGCTCTAGCTAGTTTGGCTCTGTGGTTATAGCATTGACCTGTGGACTGAAGGGGAACAGGTTTGATTCCGGTCAAGGGCAAATACCTTGGTTGCAGGCTCGATCCCCAAAGCAGGAGGCAACCACTGGTTTCTCTTTTGCATCAAAATTTCTGTATGTCTCTCGTACTTTCTTCCACTCTCTCCAAAAATTAATGGGAGAGAAAAAATGTCCTCGGTTGAGGATTAACCATATATATGTTTCAGGGTCTGGATCAGGGAGCTAGAAAAGGAAGGCTATCCCATTTCCTTCCTCCTACTCTACCCTATTGACTTTATGCCCCATTGAGAAAATTGTGTTGGAACTCACTGCCTGGCATTCCTAAAGGGAGGGCGGAGAAAGCCGTGGTTTTCATGGATGACAGTAATTGGCATTCTAACATTTTGGGTGGGAAGTGGAGTCTGTTAGCAACAGTCATTTCACATAAATGGGGAAGTCAGGAATCTAATATAGTCTCTGTAAATATATATAAATAAATACAAACATTATCTAAGGTCAAAATAAGAATCTAGGTGTGGATTTTTCTTATCTTCTGACATTAACATATGTGTACAATATTTAATGAGTGTTTTCTACTTGAATATTTCTTTGATGTTATTTTTATGGCAATTTGATAAAAGAAAAATTTCCTTGTTGCTTTGAACTCTAAATATCATTTGTTCTAGAATATTTTTGTAGCCTATTTTTAGGCTACAAACATGACTCATGAGCTGAATTTTATAGTACATGGTAATTGTTTATTGTAGATATTTAAGCAGGACTTCCTCTCACAGCGATAAAATAACTTTCAAAAATGTTTTGTTTTGTTTCCTCAGGGCAAAGCTGTTGGGGTGACTATTGGCTGCATTCTAGGAATGTTTCCTTTGATTTTCTTGGGAGTAGGTGAAGAAGATGAAAAACTGGAAAAGAAAAATTAACCCTCGTAGAGTACCTATAAAAAGATGTAAACTAATGTACCTCAACGATTAAATATGCTGTCACCACATTTAGGAATTAAGACAGTAACAGTGTATAGATACGGGATCAAATAATTCAGCATGTATTATGGAAAAACACTAACTTATTGTGGCTTGGTTTTCTTAGGACATCTTTTTAAAAAGAACTGTTTAGTATCATTTCGTGTAAATTGTTGAAATCAACAGCAGTCAACATTTTATCTTTTCCCTCTCTTTCTTTATATATCCAAATATCATTTATCAGTCATTGATGTATCGTCCTGACTTGGGGTTTGCTTATTTGTTATGTAATGTGTATATGCATGAAAACATTTTCTGTTATTGTGTTCCCTAGAGTTACAATTCAACCTTAAGATTTTTCCAAATTACATGAGATGTTTATTGTCATTTGAAGATTTTTTACTCACTTTCTGACATCAATTTTGTACTGTTTCACAGTAAACATTCATAATCATATAATTTCAGTCACTTTTATTTACTCCCACATCTATTCAAAGCAGACGCTGACTTTAAGTATTTTAAGTTTTTGTTATTCATTCTAATTTCTTATGTCAAGTGCCAGAGGTCAATCAGAATGAACTTTGTACTACATAAAACCACATATCTTAAGTATATTATTTTGAATGGATTATTTTACTTTTAATTTCTCAATTTTGCATCATTATGTGATGGTTTTTGACTCTTGAGAGAAAGAAAATTATTATTGTTGGTTCTTTTCAACGATGATTATGGGATTAGAGTGAACTAAGGGGTTTGACCCGACACTTGAAAATTAAGAGGCTAAACAATTTTTTTTAGAAAAATAGAAATTGGGAACTGTCCAGAAGGTTGTGGAATAAGTGGTGAAGTGGAAAGGATGTTTGTAAGGTTAATGAGATGGAAATTATATTGTACAGGAAAGATTTGTTCCCTCCAAAATGTCTTTTCATCTGAATTAAATGAGTCTGAGTACTTCCTATTCACAATCCTGATGTTATATCTTATTTAATGAATTTTACTTCTGGATAACTTCTTTTGAGGTGAAAAATATTATGTATATATACACATATAGATGTATATGTATATTTTTAAATTTATTTCAGAGAGGAAGGGAAAGAGAGAGAGAGAGATAGAAACATCAATATTGAGAGAGAATGTTTGATCGCTGCCTCCTGAATGCCCCCCGACTGGGGATCAAGTGCAACCCTGGGCATGTGCTGTGCCTGGGAATCAAACCATGACCTCTTGCTTTACAGGTCGATGCTCAACCAGTGCGCTACACTGGTCACGTAAAAAGATTTTATATTTCGCTCTTTGCTACATATAGTCTAATAGTCAAAAGTTACATGAGTTGAAATCTTTTTTTTCTTTGTGGTCTTTTTTTCTTCTTTTGTGGTATTTAAATCAGATTCTAGGTTGAAGTTGTTTATTCCAATCTTGTATATCTGACTTAAATATAATCGTGTAGAAATCTTAAGTTTTAATTTTATGAACTCTTAAAGTTTGTTAGCATGTGGCCTGTTACACATGCTTAAAAAACACATACACACATCATGGAGGAGAAAAACTGTAATTAAAATTACTATCTGGGCCGCTGAAATTATTAAAATTGGTAAATAGGTGCAAAAGAAGGGAAACTTATAAGATGGCTGTATTTACAGCTATAATTTATTTTAACAGTTTATTTGCAAATACGTACTTTGAACTCTTTTTTACAAAGGAACTGATTTCCCCCACAAGACAATTTATCATAATTTTGCTTCTGTGCACTTCAAAATAATTTAGTGCTATCCTTTAATCATAGATTTTAGAAGGAAAAGCATAAATCAAACAATGAAAAGATAAACATATATCATTCTTATTGTGTATAAATAGTGTGACAATCTCTTTTGATCAAATTAGAATAGAACTTGATATCTTAAACAGAATTGTGGTTTGTATCTTTCACATAATACCATATACACACCCCAAATTTTTTTTTCTCTTTTTATTATTTCAGGTGAGAGGAATAGAGTGCTTATTAAAAAATTTTTTTTTGGTAAATATTTATGTGCTTTTGTCCCTAATTTGTATATTTCTAGTCCTTTCTGTTTTCTAAAAAAGCATATTATTGTGGTGCTTAAATTTTTCTTTATTAATTAAATCCCATATCCAGAAAATGCCTGTGAGTTTAGAAAGGGCTTTTGCTTACTGTTGTGTGATTTTCTTCCTGTTGACAATAGCCCAGTCCTACAGAATCTTTCAGTTTAGCTGAATGTCTGCAAGGTTACTTAAGGTGTCAAAATATGTAACATAAAATCCTCATATTGAAAGACATTTTAATTTATGGACACAATAAAAATTTGCATCTTTCAGGTAATTAATTACTTTTCCAAAAATGGCATCCTTTTGTCAACCTAAATACACATTTTTCCAAATCTTTGTGTTCTGCACGAAGTGATTTCTGAGAAATGGTTTCCTTTAAGATACGTAATTACTTTACGTAACCATTATTTTATGTTACTTGTTACAAAGAACCTTATTTCAGGTTGAAACTGGAATTCTTATTTCTCATATTAGTTATTTCCTTATTGGGAGCACCATAACTGTGGATAAGTGCAACATGAGCTACTTTTTTTTAGTACTGTCTGTTTAAAATTCATGTTGTCCATGTATTATGATTTATTGACTTCTTGATGCATGTAAATTGGGTGGATTTTGTTGCCACTGTATGTTAAATGGTGACCAATGTTTCTACAAAAGAATTGAACAAGAAACATCTTTTAAGAAATTTGGAATGTGGTTTTGACTTTTAAATTTGATTTTTCTTCCTAATCTCAGAAGACCTTGGTTATTATTTCGCTAAAGGAAGTAGGATTAATAGATGCAGATTCGTTGCAGAGTTGTAGCAGTGTCGCTAAGACAATAATATAGAACTATTTATCACCTCACTGAAACCCACACTTGAGATACAACATTACAGATTATGAGAAAAGAATGAATCCACATGGAGATAATTTATCTTTAAGGGGATGTAAAAAAACAACTGTGAGAAAGACTGGCATAAATTACACTGATGGGCATTTACAGCAGCCATATCTAAGCCTCTATATAATAATGCAGCATTTACTTTGCTTCTTTTCTCCATTACTACTTCAATTTAATTAGTTGTTTTTAGTCTATTCAGATTTCCTGATTCTTCCTGAGTCAGTTTTGGAAGATTATGTGTTTCTAGGAATTTGTCCAAATTGTTGGCATATATTGATAGTTGTTTGCAGTGTTTTCTTATAATCCTTTGTATTTCTGTGGTGTCGGCTGTTACTTCACCTCTTTTGATTCTGATTTTATTTATTTAGGTCCTCTGTTTCTTGATGAGTCTGGCTAGAGGTTCATCAATCTTGTTTATCTTTTCAAAGAACCAGCTCTTGGTTTCATCGATCTTTCGAATTGTTTTTTTGGTCTCGATGTCATTTATTTCCACTGTGATCTTTGCCATCTCCTGCCTTCTACTTACTCTGGACTTTTCTTGTCTTTCTCTTTCTAATTCTTTTAATGGTAGGATTAGAAGTTATTAGAGATTTTTCTTGTTTCTGGAGGTAAGCACCATTTTTATGGACACAGTTATTGTGTTGCAATGCAGTACCTTGGGAATCTAGTTTTTATTTCTCATTCTCTCCACCACCACCCCCACCCCCCTTTTTGTTTTTCTGTTCTCACTTCTGGAAACTACTTTGTCTTTCCTCTAATTTTCAGGTTCTAGACCCTATGGACTTCAAATTTTATAGGATTACATCATGGAGAGGGGTAGATAACTTAGAGGTTTTGCATTCACAATATAAACATTCTGATGTTTGGTACCATGCTTTCCTTATTTATATTTATATTCCCTTGTGTAGAAAATGAAAGTTCTAAACTTTCCTCATTTATTTCTTTTTCTAAGAAGATTTCAAGAGAAATGACATGTTACAGAACAGCTCTATCAAAAGCTTAGTAAATTTCGTCTTTCCTAGAAATTGCAGTCAGTGTTTTGGCTATCTGCTATTAACACATTACCCTTTACATAACATCTGATATTTGGCATGTTTTATAAACAGGCTGAAAACTCCAGGCTGGATGCCAGCCATATTCAGGTTTTATAATTATATCTTCCTGCAATATTCTTCCCACTCAGACAGCTAATAAATAGCTTAACTAATTTAAAATATCATCCTTTTCCTTTGTCTCTGCAAAATTTAGAAATTATAAGTGCATTTCAGAAAAATCCTATTTTCTGCAGCCGCTCCTACCGTTGTGTCCTTGGTGTCCAGTAATGAACCAAATTATGAGTGAAGTGGGTCAACAGAATCATGAAATTCAATCCCCTCTCTTGAAGATCTTCCTATACCAGAGAGAGGAACAATCTTTGGGGATTATGCAAACTCCAGAATTCTGTGATTCTGAGTGACTCACGTGGCTCACAATGGTGCTAAGGCTTTATAATGCACTAGTAGTCCTGTGCACGAATCCATATCCATGAGCCAATGGCTCGCTGCTGCCCTCCTGTAGCTTCTCCAGCCCCCTTATAGCTTGCTGCCCGGCACCCTCCTGTAGCTCTCCGCTGTCCACTTGTAGCCAATAGCTCGCTGCTGCCCTCCTGTAGTTCTCTGCCTACTGCCCCGCCCTCCTGTAGCTCCTCCAACTCTCCTCTTCCTTCTCCTCCCCCTTCACAGTTTGCTGCCCTGCCCCCTCCTGTAGCTCTCCCCTGCCTGCTTGTAGTTCACTGTCCCCCACTCCTGCAGATCCGTGAGCTGGTTGTTACCCAGTTGGTTATTACACCTCACAGTGTAAGGGTAATTATCATATTCCTCCCTTATTATATAGGATTATATTATAGTTTATTCTTTTATTTTTTAATATATTTTATTGATTTTTTTACAGAGAGGAAGAGAGAGGGATAGAGAGTTAGAAACATCGATGAGAGAGAATCATCGATCAGCTGGCTCTTGCACACTCTCCACTGGGGA